ATTCACATGAATCACGATCCTCCCTATTCTCAAACATGCCATCCTCACCTTCCAAAAAGACAATTATTCTAAATTTATCCTTTAAACTAATAAGGATTTCAATTACATATCAATTTAACCACCCCACTTTGATTCTATGGGTAATGTGTTGTTCAATGTTTCTTTATGTTCATATTATAGAAGTTAGGTATCAAAAATCCATATACATATATTAATATATATTACATGATAAAAATTTAAAAATAGATAATTGAGAAATAAAAAAAAAAAAGAAACTAACCCGATTTTCTATTGAGATCCAAAAGCCCCGTAATAACCACATCTCAAAAACATACACTCGTTCATGCATACATGCATACTTATGAATTACACACATATAATTATACCTACATATGACATGTTAGTGAGGTATTAGATAATAAGTATTTTGAATAATAGGAAGAAATAGGGCTCAATCGAAGTAATATAAGTTGGAGAACTAGAATAAAAACAAGCCACACCTCGAGGGACCAAAACGAACTTTACCAAGATATAAATATATCTCAAGTCATCTCTTCATCTTCATTTTGCAATCCCTAGCTACGAAAACGGGAGTGAACTAGAGAGAGAGAGAAAAGAAAAAGAAGAGAAAAGAAAAGGGAAAAGAAGGGAAAAATCATAGTTTTTCCAAAGCAAGCTGAAAGCTAGGTATGTACCTCCTATAACAATGTTTTTATACTCGCTTAATTTGAGATTTTAGAGTTATATTTTGAAGAAGGTTAAAACATGAAAGTTGTAGATAATACCTTGAAATAGTATCTTCTTAAATTTAAGCTTAAGATAACGAGTATATACTCGTTTTATCCCTTGCAAATAAGTCGTTCGGATTTTCGATGAATCCTGCAACGAATTCCGATGTTTAGAAAATCACCATGAGTTGTGTATTTCATACCTAGATTTGATTTTTGGATATGTTATATCCCTATGAGTCTAATTTCATATGAAACTAGAATTGTATCATTTGAATCTGTATTTTGGGACTTATGGTAGAAAGAGTGCGAAGGGGTCAAGTACCTATAAAGAAATAAGTTAACCCTACGAGTCATATTTTGCACCTCGAGAATATTTAGAAATTTGCTCATGATAAAATGACTTATAAAAGTATATATGTATGTGTTTATAGATGCCGAGGAGCATGAGGTGCAAGACGCAACGCGTTGACAAATGACGAAGACGTCATTTTTATGAGTGGATATAATTGATTGATACTATCTCGTTTATGTTGCCATGTGATGTTATTGACTTTTTTAAATGATATGGTGAACCAATGTTTATGTATGAATTATGTTTTGATGCTATGAAAGTGCTATGTGCAAGCATGTGTTGATGATTCATGCTATGAGCCATGAAAGTTATTATGTATAAGTACAAGTTATATGGGACATTCATGACGTATGAAAGATAAAAGGGTAAGGTTATGACCGTCATGTCCAAGTAATCGCAAATACAAGTTACAAGAACCCAATGGGTCAAATACAAGTATACAAGCTGGCCGACCATACAAGTTTACAAGTTATAAGTTTATAAGCTTACGAGTTATATGTTACAAGTTTTCGGAGTGATACTTGACGTGTTTTGGTCATAACCGACAAGAAAGAATACATATAAGCATTTTGATATATGAACATGTATGAATTATATAAATGCTTATGTTTGTGTCATGAATGTGCTTTTGGTTAATGATATGAAAATGTATATGTGTGTGTTAGAGCATCAAGATTATATCCCTCATTGAGTAGCATCTCATTAAAAATGTAATTATCTTTTTAGGTGCTAAGAAGCGAAGTGGACGTTAAAATCATCTTTTGTTATTTAATTCACGTCATGAGTGGCAGGTCGATTGGTGATCTCCCTCTCCTCTCTCTCATTATGCCGAGCATATGCATCATAGGAGATTTTTGAATTGGATATGTAAATGTGTAAATATGAACTCCTGGATGTGTTTTGTGATGTGTTTATGAACAAAGAAAAAGTGGTTTTGATTGAATATCAAAGGGTTATAAGTGGAAAGAATGGTTTTTATTAGGTTTTAAAGTGTTATGGCCGAAAAACCCTTGTTTTGGGTAGAAACGTACATGGGAAGGTACACGACCGTGTGGGAGGCCGTGTAACTTGCTGTCCGCAAGAAAAAAAAATTTCTTAATCTTTCTAATATGAGGTTTTAACATTCTTAAGTGATATTTTATGATTAATTGAGTTTTCTATAACTAAAATGGCTAAGTTATATGAAGTTTTTGTAAGGAACTAGGTTAAGGTCACTACAAGCTCAATCTCCACTTCGCTTGATTTTTCAATAACAAATATATAAGCTCTTGACTTGAAAAAAAAAATAGAAGCTGTAGAAGAAAAAGACAGGAGGGAGAGTGCAAAACGAAAAATGAAAAGGTAAAGGTGAAAAAGAAAAAAGAAGTCAGGACCACTAAAAAAGAAAAGAAAGACATACACATAGGTATGACATATGGACAAAAGTATGAATCCTCTCTCTTCTTCTAAATTTTATATATATATATATATATATAGTTTTTAGTGTAGCCTTGCACATTTGTCTCTGCATATAGGGGCAAAATGGCTTTAACCATCCTTCTTGTTCTAAATTCAATATATATATATATATATATATATATATATATATTATTATTTTTTAAAAAAATTTGGTGGGGCTAGTGGGGGCGAGCCAAGTGCCCCACTACCCTCATTGTGTATTCGTCTCTAATTGTATTTATGTATATGATGAGAAGGTAGGTCAAAGAATACCGTAAGTATAACTCTTCTTGATTACTATTTAAGGACATAAAAACTACTTGTCCATCAAGAAAAAACAATTAAAATGGAGCTTAGAAGTTAGATTCTACGAGTAAATACTTATTTATGACAATTTACATGGTTAGAAAATAACAAGAACATATGAGATGCATACTAAATATGATATTAATTCTTTTAGCAAGATTGAATAAGAAAAGATTGGATACGTATGTGAATGAACAAGCTTCTAGAAGATTCCAATACAAATTCTTAAAATCAATTGTTATCATGAACTTTCACCATGTTCCATGTCGGATGAAGAAAATATTTGGTAATTTCGACCATTACATTTGAGATAGCCACGCTTAAACAATTCTTATATTATTAAAATAATAACGCACATATTTTATTGAAATGTTTATTTTGAATATCAATACATAAAATTGTTGTAGATTTTTCTTTTTATATTTATTTAAATTTTTGGCATTAAGAAGTAATTATACCGTGCATCAATATGCAATGTTGATTTTATTAGGATTAAAATCAGCATGAAGTTGAAAAACTACATTAATCATCGTCCTGCAATATCGAAGAGAATTGATCAAAAAAATTTACAAAGGAAACAACTTGGAGAAATAATGTTACAAAGAGATGGCAAAATACCAACCATCAGACTTTTTTATTTTTATTTTTTTAAATGAAAGTCAAGCATCTAGATAGAGATTTAAGGAAAGTGAAGGAATTTTGGACTTTGGGATGACAAAATTACTGGTTTTGATAGGCAATTGTCAAAATTCGACTCGATGGAGGAGCATTTCTCTTGGGAAATAAATGGAGATGGGACCCTATCTTGTTGAAAATCCAAACCCAATTATACGTGTACATTTATACTGGTTTTGGTTTTTTGTCAAGCATATATTTTTTAAACAATTGATTCTGTAAAATATATATATTTTTTTTTGATGAGTTTACTTTTGGATTATTTATATTCATATGTGTATTAGAGTGATGGTAAAATTCAGTATTTATATAAATTTAATATTTCATTTTTAGATTAAAATATTACACTATAATTGTAAGATAGTATTTTTTTTTTAATTGATAAAAAGCTCTCAAATTCGCTCCAATCCCAACGGAAAAAAAAAAAATTATTCATTTCCCCTCAAATCCGATTAATAAGAGACGGATACGGTAGAAGCATAATAACATACCGTAAACCTGCCGATTGCAATCCTTATTTGGACGGGAGAAGAGCTGCTCCCTTTCTTTCTTTTATCTTTCCTTTTTTATCATAGAAAATAGACACTATGTTTCTCATTTCCCAAATTGAAAGAAGAAGGAATGGAGAAGTAGTTGAATATATTCTTCTTCTTTTTTTCGGTTGGTGTATATATATATATATAAAAGATGTTGGCTTGGGTAGGTTACCCTCATCATTTCAAATAAAATAAATATATATATATTACAGCGCATTCCCACTAATAATTATTAATTATCGTTTGCTAATAATAATTATTCTTCTACGTACAACCCAAGGATTTCATCAGCTTGATTAGTCAAAGGTAAATTAATTTTAAATATTAGATTAAATAAAAAATTACAAATTAATCCTTCTTGTTTTAATAAATAAATTGATTAATTTTTTTCAAAAAACTAATTATTTAGTTTCTATATTTTTAATTTTTTTTAATTTTTTTAAAAATAAAAAAAATATAGAGGAATTAATTAAAAAAATATAACATTTTATTATTTAAAATTACACATAATAATACTAGTTAAATGATTAAATAATTATTTTTTATAAAAAAATTAATTTATTTATTTTTTAAAAAATAGAAAGACTAATTTATAATTTACTTAATCAATATATACACACACCAAATTAATTACCAGACAGCTATTATCTCCATTTTCCACGCTTTTTTTTTTTCCTTTTCTTTTTCTTATTCTGTTAGACAGAGCAGAGCCTGTCTCAATAACCCTAAAAAATCTCAGGAAAAAATCCCTGATGTCTCTCTGCTCTTTTCTTCCTTTTTAATTTAGTTTCGTACAGCAGAAATTTGGTTTATTAGCGGTTTGGATTTCGAATTTGAATCTAACAGAGAGAAGAACTTTGCTTTTATTTGAATTTTTTTCCCACAACAATCAAGAGGGACATCGAAGCTTAGCCGGAGATTTGAAAGGTTTCCGGCGGCAATACGAAAAAAAGGAAGAGAATAATGGCGAGCGAGTTGCAGATGAGTCCGCAATTGGAGCAGATCCATGGTGAAATCAAAGACAACTTTCGAGCACTCTCGTATGCTCTCTCTCTCTCTGTCTCCACGTTTTTGCTAATTTCACCAAAAGTCAGTTTTTTTCTTCTTGAGGTCTGCAATAGGGCAGGAAGAGTTAGTTAATTAGTTTTTCTTTTTGGATTCACCTTGTTGCTACTGCTTTTTGTTTCTGTTATGTTATTTTTTGCTAAATTTTTCGTTTCCATAGATATGAGTTGAGAGAGAAAAATACTTCTGAGTGGATTTTTCAAGCTCTTATATGGCTATATGGGCATTTAATATAGAAAGATTGGACTTTTAAGCAGAATAAGGTGAATGTTCTCACGCGAAGATATGTCAATTCACCTATTTTTTGCTTCCTCACTAGAGAGTAAATCAATCTTCGTTGTGGAGGTTAGCTACTTGAAGGACAGACTGTTTTCGTGGCAATTTTTCCTCAATTTGATAGCCAATCTGAATAGCATAGATGGTCAATCGTATTCAACGTACAACAAGTAGCTAAAAGCAGAAACAATTTCAGGTGGTTTTAGCCTTTCACAATACATACCAATCATGATATTTCATCCGATGAACAATTCTATGACGTAGTTAAGCTATTAACCGGATTAGTATAAACTTGCAAAGACTGTTTCTCAGCGCAGATTAGGAGGCACACAGTGTCATTTTGGGTAGTGATGTTTACTGGTGATCGATGCCCACTGGAACAAGTAGGTTTTTTGTTCTGTTATACTTTTTTGTAAAAGTCGCAACAAAAGTTTCAATGGCTTCTGGGTATTTTGAATACTGTAGAGGAAATATATTTTAAATGGTGTGGTATGATTCTTGAGTACTTCTCAATATGGTAGCATATGTTGAGTGCTTTCAAAGTTGGAGGAGTCACGTATTACTTGAACCGAGTTGTTTTGTTTCTATGATGTGAAGAAGTGAGTTTAATGAAAGAATTTCAAGCAAAGATGAAGTTGCAGATCATAATGAAATGGAAAGGCCAGGATATTAAATCTATCGAGGACAACTGTTTTTTTTTTCCCACAAATCATCATGGCTGTTACATTTTTTGTTTTCATTCTTCAGTTTCGATACAAGCAGTCATGTGTGAATTTTTTTTTTTTTTTTCCAATAACAAGCAGAGTGTCAGCTTAGCTCTGTGAATAGTGTATCCATGCTGGTTCTTATTTCACAAATGGATCAAAATGTTGTCAGATATGCACAAATATTTCTTGTCATATGAAGGAGCAATTTGGATGTCTTGACAACTGATGTGGGGTTTAATTCCATTCCTCTTTCCTATTTGGTGCCCAGGTCTTAAATTCATATGTTGTAATTGTGATACTTCTTTCTTTTGCTCTATATAATGATTTTTATGTTTATCACCCAAAGTTCCTGTATTGCACGTTCTTTTTGTATGTATTCGTGGATGGGATATGCATGCGATTTTCTTCGATCACTTTTCCTGAGATATTGCTAAATGATGACAGCACCTGTGATGATTCTTGCCTTTTTGTTTATAGAAATGGATTCCAAAGGCTAAACAACATTAAAGATTCTAATAGACAAAGCAAACAGCTGGAGGAACTTACTGGGAGGATGAAGGAGTGTAAACGGTATGTCATAAATTGGCCTTCTATTTTTGAAATTCCATATCTGAATTGTAGTGTGTGGGACTCTTGAACCATTATTTTTCTTGTTAGATGTCATACTCTGATGGCAACAATGTGTAATCTACTTCACAGAGAAATAAAATGTGTACGAAGTGTTGCTAGTACATCACATTCTTCTATAAAAAAATCCTTCGTTAGCTTAACTCTTGAAAATATTGAACTATCTGGTTGGATTACTTTGGCTAGTGGGGACTTAGTTATGTTTCAGTTGAGTTGAGTCTGTCTTGAGAATTTGAGAGAGCACACATTTTAGTTAAATTGATATCAGAATTTTTTTTTTTCTGATGCATAACTTCACCTTGCTTAAGCAACTTGTTTTGCATGGATTTCAGGAAGAGTCAGTTCTGGAATGCTCTCTCTATACATCTATCTTAAAAAGGAAATAATAGAATCTGAATAAATTACTTGGTTAAGATGTTCTAAGCTCTGTAGCTTAGTTTTTTCATGTGATTTGTGATTTAGAAGTCTTAGATTCCAATGATTGTCTCAGATTGATTAAAGAGTTTGACCGTGAAATTAAAAGCGAGGAGAGCAAAAATCCTCCTGAAGTAAATAAGCAACTCAATGAAGAGAAGCAATCCATGGTCAGTTCTTTTGACCCCTATTTCTCTGATCCAATTACTTGAAATGCTTATCAGGTTGTCCTCTTAGTTCCCTTTTTTAATCTGTCCGTTCAATTTCCATCTCTTTTTTGGGTGCAGATAAAAGAGCTGAATTCCTATGTGCAACTGAGGAAAACGTAAGTTAATGTATTTGCTTTGTTCTTAGATGAGAGTTTATGAGTGTGGAGTTCAGACCATCTTGAGTTCAGTCCTTGTGATAATGATGCCGATTGCTTCATTCAGAAAGCTAGCTTCATCCTCACTCAGATTTTTTCCTTATTAGAAAAACTTGTCATTTGTAGAATTGAATACATAACATCAAATGGGCATCTTCTTCACTTAACATATGGGATACTTTTGAAGTTCTTGTTCCTGACACTGTATGGTGGGTCTGCAGGTATATGAATAGCCTTGATAACAAAAGAGTTGAACTCTTTGATATGGGAGCTGGAGCAAGCGAACCTATGGCAGAAGAAAATGTTCAAATGGCATCAGGTGAGATCTTGTTTCTTTTCATAACAACATTTGGAAATTTGCGGAACATGTTTAGTTTGCACAGAAAAACTACCACTGCATGATATGATTGGTTGAACACATGCCCTCTTAATCATATGGCTCAGGTGAGATCTTGTTTCTTTTCATAACAACATCTGGAACTTTGTGGAATATGTTTAGTTTGCACAGAAAAACTACCACTGTGTGATGATTGGTTGAACACATGCCCTCTTAATCATATGGTTTATCATCAAATGAGATTATTCCACTCAAGGACAATATGAGTGTCAGGCGTGACTGCAACTGGGAATTTCAGTGTTTGAAAGAGTTTTTACACCATTCTTTTTGGCATGGGAACAATGCTGTCTTAGTCATATGGTTAATCCTCTAATGAGTCCCACTCGAGCCCAATATTAGTGTCAGACATGATTGCAACTGGGAATTTCAGTTTTTGAAAGAGAGTTTTTAAGCCATTCTTTCGGGCATAGGAATAAAAGGAAGGAAAAAAAACTACATCAGTTGTCTCTTGGTTGCAGATTTTCAGAACTAGATTTGGTCCGATCTTTGATGAACAAAAGGAATTTATTTCGCAGACTTCACATGCATTGTCACTTAAAATCTATTTGGCAATATGTAACCCTTGTATTCAAATATGTATCCATATCTTTTTCCCTGATTTGACAAATAATATTTCTGATCGGCTTGGTTGTCTAATTTATGTTCCTGTTTTCTAGCTATGTCCAATCAAGAACTTGTTGATGCTGGGATGAAGACAATGGATGAGACTGATCAGGCCATTGAACGCTCTAAAAAGGTAAAAGAGCTTTGTGAGACATTTTCTCAAAGGTTCCACTTTTCTGTATTCTTAAAATCAGGAGTTTCTCTTTAGGTTGTTGAACAAACAGTTGAAGTGGGAACTCAAACTGCCGTTACCTTAAAAGGCCAAGTAAGTATGCTTCACTAACCTGTACAAGTTACCTTTTTGTCATTTTTCCCCATCATTAACCTGTCTTAGTTACTTCTTCATCTTTATTTTGATGTTCTTCTTCCTATCGAGGCTTTAGTTGATTTGAGTTGAGCTTGAGGCTTAGTTGAGTTGAGTTTTATGAGTAGGGTATTATTAAGGTATTATTCTATGTATTGATTCAAAATTGGGCAGACTGAACAAATGGGACGCATTGTTAATGAGCTGGATACTATTCAATTCTCAATTAAGAAGGCCTCACAGCTTGTGAAGGAGATTGGGAGGCAGGTTAGTTAATTTTCTGTTCTCTATGTGCTGCTTCAATCCTTTTTTTCGTTTTTTTTTTTTTTTTTGGGGGTTGATGTACTAAATCCCTTTTTTTCCAGGTGGCTACCGATAAATGCATAATGCTATTTCTATTTCTTGTTGTCTGCGGTGTAATAGCCATAATCATTGTGAAGGTACTCTCATCATTTCATCCTATTACAGCCTATGCTTTGTCTCTTCATGAATTAAATTGCAAGAGTCCTTACTAAGATACACCATAGGTCTTTGGAAGCTTTGACAAGGATACATCTACAGGAATTATCAAAATCTTTATTTTTACAAATAAACTTTATGAAAGAGAACTGCATGGAATTGAATGATGAAAGTACAAAGAAACTAAATAGCACATTGAAGGCGCAATGTTTAGTGAAAGTTTTTCAGATATCATATGATTCAAACAAATTGTGTGACTTTCAATCGGACAATAAAGGATTTGAGTTCTGTGGTATTCTGCTGAAAATCCTCATCAATGGTTGTGATGAAGTGGTGGTTCTTTTCGATATGTATAATACTGTCTGTACCATTGCACATCTGGTGATACTCTATTTCTTATGATAGACCTTGAGCCTTTTATGTTTGTATCAGCCATGCAAACATGCTTTTTTTTTTTTTTTTTTCCTTTCAAATTTCCATGTAGAAACTCAGCATCTGCAAAATATTCCTTTATCTAATTTGTTTTGGGTAATTTTTCAGATTGTCAACCCCAACAACAAAGATATCAAGGACATTCCTGGATTGGCTCCTCCAGCCCCCTCAAGGAGGCTGTTATATGTGAGAAATCCAGAACATTTTGAGTAGATTCATCTTCTCATAGAAAATGGTGTTTCCCACCTTGTGGTATGGTTTATGTTCGAGTGAGAAGAGGGAGTGGTGGGAAGAATTCTGTTTGCGGCATTTGTTGGGGTTTTCCTTGTATTTTTTCTTTTTTTTCTTCTTTCAATTTATTCCTTGCTTGAGATGTGCATATCCTGCCTGATTATGTATTTAAATCACACGTGAGAGCTTTTTGCATTATTTTGAATGTTGTGCTTTCGTTCTTTGAGTAAACTTTTCTGGCTATTGCATTTGTAAGAGAAAAAGGATGGTAAAAATAGTAACAATATCATCTGCTGTGAAATGTTAAATCCGTACATGTATTCTGGAAGATGTATGCACTTTTAGTCTTTTTTATTTTATTATTATTATTATTTTAGTTCAATATTTTCAATTTGTTAGTAATGTTCTTGTTGGGGTTCGTACTGATTAATTAACCCCAAAAGGTGAACTAACGAAATCTTCTCGTTGGCTTGCAATTATTATTATTTATTAGCAAGAAAAGATAATTAGTTGAACTTTCATGGAGGAAAATCTTAGTTGAACGCTGCATTATGTATCAATTTAGATGTTAACTATTTGTGCGATCTCATAATCTTAGTGAGGACAAATGTATAGATAAAACCTAAGTTTGAGGCTTGAATACTTGGGTGGATGTGTCAGTGATATTTCAGAATGTGTAAATAAATTTTTGGCTGAAGATGATGTACGTTTATACAGTTCGTATCTTAGATGCAAATAACCCAAGAAGCAAACGGGACCACCCAATTGCATATCTTGAAACACCCAGCACCAGCAGCAGGGAAGGAGAAAATTATAAATCACTTCTTTTTTTTAGAAAATTAAATTAAATCCGTTATTATATTTCAAAAACTATTTTTTTTTAATTTCTTTTAACGAGTATTCATTATGTTTAATTTAATATTATTTTATTTTAAAAAATGTTACTTTTTTCTCATCTATCTTGCCATGTTTTTTACTGATTTTTTTTTCAACTTATTAAAAAAAAAACTCAAAATAAATTGAAAAGAAAACGAAAAGGATAAAGTTATAAGAAAATTTAAAAATATAAAAATTAAATAATTAGTTTTTAACCAAAAAAAGATTAATTAATTTTTTTCTTAAAACTAGAGGGACTAATTTAGAACTTATTAGCAGGCAAGCCATACTGTATCCATACAATAATTAAAAAAAAAAAAAAAAAAAAAAAAAAAAGGCAAAGGACTGTAATTTCTTCAAATAAAATAAGTAATTAAAATGTGGTTCTTGGAAGAATGTCATCTACTCCTAACAACACGTGGTCGCCGGCAACTTGTACAATTATCATCATCATTATTATTACTCTTATTATTATTGCATCCTGAAAAAAGAAAAACCAAAGCTCCCACAAAGAAATTGAAAGAAGTTTCTTTGATTTGGACATGGCTCAACTCAATCTATCAATGCTTTCAAAATGTCAATTCTAACAACTCTTGCTCTCTCCTCAAACGGCACTTGCAAAATGTTAGTCTCTTGGATATGCATTTAAAAATTTATCCAAACTTGTAAATGTTGTAATATTTTTAATAAAATATTAAAAATTATATTAATTATTAATAAAAAGTAATTAAAGTATATATTACTTATCATTTTTGAACTGTTATGAAAATAGTATAAATACAATATTTAAAAAGAAAAATCATAACTTATCATTTTGTTTTTAATTACAATAAATTACTCGTCCAAACGACTCTTTTGATGGAGCAATATAAATGTGCCATGTTTTCGACAAATGGGCAGCATGTATAGATACTTGTTTTCTTGACGAAAGTAGCAGTATGCTCTATTGTTTTTTGGATAGAGATAACAAGAAGAGTAGAATTATTTTCTCTCTTTAGCAAAAAAAGAAAAATACAAATATCTGTTGTTTTATCTCCTAGTCTCCTACTAAAAAGCCATTTTATTTTAGTTGTTCTTTTTCATATATTTGGATAAGAGTGGTACTATTTTATTCAAAGTTTTAAGTCTTATAAGTAGTGCAAACTTGCAAGATACGACAAGATAGTTGAACTTATTGTATCCATGAGATGACTTGCAACATATATTTGATTCTTTGCATAAGATAAATTTTATAGACGACACGCATCGTCCGAAGAAAACAATCTGGTTGTGCCTCAAGACAATCACCTAAAAATTCTTATGTAAAGCTATATTGCTAGTTTAATCATCTTTATTAATGAGAATAAAGAAAGTCAAGGTTGTATTGATAGAAACCAAGGAGCCAAATGGATCGGTAAGGTGGCGTCTCCAAGGGAGGTCCAAGATGACGAGTTTGCAAGTCTAAGATTTGATTCATTACACATTAAAGATGGTCCAATGACGTAGGCCGGGGCTAATAAGTTTAAAAAAACTCTCCATGGATCGATTCAAGAGTGTTGAACATAATGCATTTTCAAGAGGTCGAGGGAGCATTGTGACATCATCTTAAGAGAGGAGGGGGATCCAAGACTAGTCAATCCGATCCAAATCCAAGATTGCACTCCTTAAATCATATTGGGCCTATTTTTTTATATATAATTTAATTATAATTAATTTAATTAAGTTAGATTTGGACTCAATGTTTTAAGTTTAATTATTTGTATATTCTTTTAAATCCATTAGGGTTTATTTGTGTTCTATTTAGGTGACAAGGACATGTAGAGTCCTTTTAGGGTTAGGAGTGGTGTGTTTAGCTTATTTAAAGATTGATTTAGTTCGTTTCGGACTTACACAATAAGTTAGAGAGTTAATAAATTTGAGAGGATTTTCTTCTTTTGTTCTTTTGAGAACTAAATCGACTTATTAAGGATTGTAATCCTTATGGCATCTCCGAACTTATCATCCTCTATAGAGTGTGGCGTTCTTTACTCCATTACATCATAGCTTAGGTTCTTGCCTCCTTATAGGCAATGAGTTAGGTTTCGCTTACTATAACTCCGATTGAGCGCGTTCTTGGAGTTATCTAGTGATAAAGATGTCCGGGTCTCTTGTCTTTATACATGAGGTTCACATCGGTTGGTATCGGAGCCTAGGTTGTGCAAAGTCGGTTGTGCAAAGTCAGTTGCTTGTCCATAGTCCTTGCGTCTTTTATTTCGTGTCTTTGTAGTTTCGTTTCCAAATTGAGTTAGTTTCAATTCAAAAAAGGAAAAAAAGAAAAAAAATAAGAAGTCTCATTTGTTTTATCCCATTGTTTCTCATTTGTTGTTGTCTCGTTTAATCCAAGTCCGTTTTGTCATTCAAATCTGAAATTTTTTCTTGATTCAAATCGAAAGAAAACATCATAAGGCTACAAAAAAAAAGGTGTTATGATATTCTTCCATTTAAAAAAACACACAAAATAAAGAAAAGGCTACTCGGATTTGTATCATTTGATCTAAAATCAATAGTTAAAAATTTTTTTGATTGCTTAAATCAATAGCCTAAATAGTCATTGTGTGTGCTAAACTATTTGTGTTCAACTTGTTATCATTATTAAATTTGTTTAAATCGAGTAGCTCTAAAATTCAGTTTGTATGTTTCAAATCAATAGCCTTAAAATTATGTCTTGTGTGTTTCAAGTCAATTGTTAAATGTTAAATTGTTTACTAAATAATTATGATTAGTTTCTTTCCAAAACAATCAACTTGTGTCTCCTTTATTAAAATTAATTCAAGTCATTTCTAGTGTCATTCTTATTATTCGAAAACTTAAAAATTATTATGTAAATTGGTTTATGAATTCGTTGTTCCAAATCTATTCGAAATTTATTCCTTAGAAAGTGAAGTTATTAAGCACTTGTTTATCACTTGCAATTGGTTAGTTCATGTGTGGTTTGGATTAGTTTGCAAAAGAACCAATGGAGTGAGTTATAGAGGTAAAAGGTCGAAAAGTGTGAGCATATTAAAGAAAAAACCAAAAAGAGATCAAACACGAGCGTTGAATGTTATCAATTTGAGAAAAAAACACGTGAGGGAGTGTTTGTGAGAAATTTTTATTACTAACAAATTTTGTGTAGATTTTAAACATGTCAAAAGATAAAAATTCTAAGAGAGAAGGTAAAGTGATTGTTTATGATGATGTTTATGATGAGTCATTAGTAATTATGCACACTTTAATCACACAAGTGAAAAGTGAGGATGAGGCATGAAGAGATAATATTTTTCATATCCGATGTTATGTCAATAATAAGGTCTATCATTTGATAATAGATGAGGGTGATTGTGTCAATGTTTCTAGTCCTAAGTTGGTCAAAAAATTGAGTTTGCTTGTAATTAAACATCCTTAACCATATACATTACAATGGGTAAATGAGTGTGGTGAATGTTAGTGTAGATGCTCAAGATCCAACCTTGAGGTTGGATGGTTTGAGTTATTGTATAATTGTATATTTATTTTATCAATAATAAAAGAAGTCTTTCTATTAGTTTTTATTTGTTTATATTTATTTATTGAATAAAATTAGATAAAATTTCATATGACATGCATTTGTATTAATGATTTAACGAAAGGTGTGAGATAAATATTAATGCACTTAATTGATATCATTAAATATCTTAACTTGTAGCATTATCAAGAATGAAGATTGACTATATGTGGTTAGACTTGTGATCGCTATGTTCATGCTATAAGTAGCGATAGGAGATCTCACACATATTAGTATGGTGATGTCAAAGCAAGTAGTTATGTGATTTATATTAGAAAACATATCACTTGGACTTGACTTGTCATGAGAACCCATTTGATTTTGTTTTATAGGAATCTCATATGAGATGAGTACAAATGGTCCTTTGATTTGAAGTCATTGTGGTTATCTCATTAGAGAGTTTATGTATTTTGACACTCGTTTCGATGAATCTAGTAAAAGATTACACTTAGGCAATTCATTGGCTGCATTAGAAATTTAATAGAGGTAGATGGATGACTAAGATAGGCTATGTCATTCCTCGTATGCTAAAGGAGTTATCACATTGCACTTCAATAAATGTCTA